CGGGGGGGGGCAGAGCGAGTGGTATGGGAGCGGAGCGGGGCCCGGGACGGCCCCGCCGCCCTCCCCGCGGCGCGCATCGCAGCCTCACCTCGTCCCCGTCCTCGCTCTCCTCCTCGCTGCTGGACTCTGAGGAGTCGCCACCTTCCTCCGATGAGTCGCCGTTGTCATCATCGTCATCCTCGTCTTCGTCGTCATCCTCCTCCTCCTCTTCCTCCTCGTCGTCGTCCTCTGACTCCTGCAGGGTGGGATGGGGTTGATCGCAGGTGGGCGCCCTGGGACACCGGCACCCATGGGTACCACCCCATCCTTGGCCATCAGCCTTTGGGTTCCTCCACCCACTGCGTGGGATCAGGCAGCTCCTACCCCACGCCTCGCCTGGGAGCCCTTCTTTCCCCATTTATGTTACAAACGGCCCCAAAAAGGCTCCCAGAGAGGGTGCAAGGGGATGTCGTAGACTGGGGGCGGGGGGTGCAAAATCAGATGCAGGTGGGATTTGAGCACAGATTTGGGGAGCGCCCTTGGTTTTTTGTCTCAAGGCAAGGGCAGGCAGCAGAAAGCATGAGGGACGCCCCAAACAAGAGGTCTGGGTCCCCCCGGGACGCCCTCCCCAGGGAGGAGGGTGCTGGGTGTCCTCAGCGTGGAGCACAGCCATCGTGCACTCACCGACTTGGATTGCATCGTTGGCTTCATCTTGGGGTTGGGGCCCCGGATCTTCCCCATGCTCTTGCGTTTCTGCGGGGCAGGGGGGGAACAAAGCAAAACCATTTAGAGCTGCAGGGCTCGAGCTCGGCTCCTTCCCAGTGCCTGGCGCAGAGAAAACCCCACTGCCGAGCTGCCGCGGGGGTGAAGCCCTTTGAGGGGCTCTCCTGAGCTCAGCTCCTCTGCTGCACAGCCTGACCTCACCCAGGGCTGACCCCAGCCCAGCCCCAAGCCCCCAGGGCCCCCTGACGATGGTGCAGGCGGGTACTCACGTTGGAGGTGTGCTCCTTGTAGGCAGCCCGCTCCTGGGGCGAGAGGCTCTGCGGAGACAGGGGAGAGGGTCAGGGTGCGGGGAGGGCTGGGCAGGCAGGGTGAGGGGGTACGGAGCGGGGAAGGACTCTAGCACAGGGCACCCCCTCCCCACATGTATTTTTTTAAAGGCCCTTCAAGTTACAAAATGCCAAAAACGGACTGGGGGTGGTGGTTCCCGGAGGAAAGCCGTGAGCAGAGACCTCACCAAGCATCCCCAAGGACATCCAACCCCAGGGCCCCCCCCGGGCATGAGGGTCCGATGCTCACCTTGAGCCAGATGTCGAGGTGCACCTTGTACTGTTTCTGCTGCTCCTCCGCCAGCTTTTTGTAGTGGTCCTTCTGGCCCTGGGAGATGCGCTGCCAGCGGCTCGCGAGCCGCTCCTTCAGCGGGAGGTGGTTCAGCTCCCCGTTCGACAGCAGCTCCTGGGAGAACTTCTGATAACCATTCCTGCAAATGGGGAGCACGGAGCCCGGATCAGATGGCGTGCACAAGCAACCCGCACTAACCACCAGCCACCCCCAGCACGGTCCAGCCCACGCTCCCTCCGCCCCGGGGCTGCTCCAGGCTCCTGCACCAGCCCACGTGCCCAGCTGGGCCAGCCAGACCCATCTTTTCGGACCCCAGACCCCAGGTACTCACATAGGGGGTTTCTTCGGCTCCCCCTGGAACTTCATTTTCTTGGCGGAGTTGGTCGAGCACGGAGGGGCCCGCATCTCGCTCAGCTCCCTCTGAGCCAGAGGAGAAAGAGGGGTCAGGGAGGCAGGGGCAGCGCCGCCACGAGGGTGGGAAGGGAAGGGGCAGGGACCCACCTCGTATCGCTTCTGATCCTCCGCTGCTTTTTTGATCCACATCAGCTTCTCCTTCTTCTCCATGTTGTTCCAAGTGGCCTCCATGGCCTTCAGTGCCTTCCCCCGGTCGTTCTGCGGCACAGACCCCCCGTGCCACGTTACAGATGCGCCCACGATGCCTGGGGCGCTGCGGTGCTACCACCGGCCCTGCCATGGGCCACGGGGCACCCGCTCCCCTGCCATCCTCCCCACGGCTCCCAGCCCCAAGCTGCTGCCTCGGGTGTGAAGGCAGGGGAGAAGGTACAAGGCAATTTCTGCTGCTGGGAGCGAGGATCCCACTTCCAGCTCCCTTCTCCTCACCTTGAAACGAGCCAGGTAGTCCCCGATGACGCTCTGTTGCCAGATCTCCTCGGCCGTCTTGGGAGACTCGGGCAGCTTCCCGCGCTCCTCCTTATCCGAGCCGTGCTTCTTCTCCGACTGCGCCTTCATCGCCGCCTCCCGCGCTTTGTACTTGGCCTGCGTGGGGCGCACGGTGGGGGTGAAGGGGCAGCACGGCCGCCCGGGCACAAGCCCCCAGCCACCAAGCACCGGGAGGGCAGGCAGGGGGACGCTGCAGCCTCCCCCAGTGCCGTCCCCGCGGTAGCACCGGCAGCCCCCCACCACGCACACCCATGTCCCAGGACTTTCCCCCACCAGGAGCAGCATCAAGCCTTTAAACTGAGGCTCAGGGACCCTCCAAAGTTTCTTAAGCTGCTGGGTTTTAACCCACCGGGTCACAAGAGGGAGAGGGCACAGCCAGGGGCACGCATCGGTGCCGACACCGGCCCCGGGGCGATGGCTCGCCGGAGCTGTGATGCTCCCGGGGACAACTGTCCCCCGGCTGCGGTGCCTGGGGGCGAGTAAAGCCCCTTGCAGCAGGACATGGACAGGCAGCGTCCCCCGGGCTGCCAGAGATGCCCAACGGGGCACGCAAGGGCAACGGAGACGGGGATGGAGGAGAAGGGTGGGGGACGGTACCAACCTTCTTCTTCTCGGAGAGGTCATTCCACATGCGGGCCAGGAGCCGGGTCAGCTCGCTCTCCGACAGCTCCGGCCGCTCCTCCTGCAGCTGCTTCCTCTTCTCCTCCGAGAAGATGAACATGGCGGAGATGGGCCGTTTGGGCTTCTCTGAGCTGGCCTGCGGAGGGACACGGGGCCGCGGGTGGGGGCGAGCACGCAGAGGGACCCGACTCGCACTGGCAGCCTCCAACCCCAGGAAAAATGTGATGAAAGAAACGAGGAAGGAAGCCCTCAAAGCACCCCGAGGTGCCAGCAACCCCATCCCAGGTCCCTGGCACGTGCTGCCCTATCTCCAGTTGCCTCTCTCACCTTGCCGGTCTCTGGTGAGGATTTTTTGGATGCAGGACTCGTTGCCCCTTTCCGGTTGCTGCCCAGCATCTTCTCCTCGCCCAGCACCCGCTGCTGCTCCTCCTCAGGCAGGCTCTGGGTGGCACAGGAGGAGAGACACGGTTAAGACAGCCCGACGCTAACGAGGCTTTGATGCAGTCAGGGGACAGGGATGCTGTGGAGGGGGGAACGAATGCATTCAGTTGTCCTGATCCAAAAGCCACCCCAGCCAGGGCCAAACATCAGGCACTGCAAGCCTGGGTGCGCAGCCTGCGGGTCCCCAGGGCTGTCAGCCCCTCGCCAGGCAATGTCCCTCCTCCCCAGCTCTGTCCCCTCCCCAGCTCAGTCTCATCTGCTTCCTCTCCGCAAAGGCGGGGGGGGGCAGGCACCCAGATCCGGGTGCCCCCCTGAGTTTTCCACCTTGCAGGCGCAGGCGGGGGCCCCCCCCAACCCCCCCCA